TTATGTATAGACGGAAGCCCAAAAATGAAAAAGAAAGTGAAGAAATCGGTAACCATATTTGTTGCGAAAACGATTTTTTTTTTGCAACAAAATCAGCAATGATTTAGTTGCTTACTTTAAACTGAACTGTGCCCACCTCAAGATTTGCTTTTTCAAAGAATTTAGGAATTTTGCGAATAATCGATCAGTATTGCTTCATTTTTAGGAATCAAAAATCACCGGATGTTTTTTTTCCAGTGAATCTGGAATCCCCGAATCGATCAATGTGATTGATAAAGCGTTCGTTCCACTTGTGAAAATAATCGACAAAGATACGAAAATCTGCCTGGACATATCGTTCAATACGGTGCAAGCGGTCCGAGCCGCGCAGTTTATCACTGCTATGATGGCTCGTTATCCGGTGCTTGAGCCGCTGGTCCTAGTGCTGAAGCAGTTCCTCTTGCAAAGGCAATTGAATCAGGTACTTTTTCTCGAGATCTGTCTGCTCTCCGTGAAAAATAATTAGATCGTCTAAAAATTTAAATTTGGAGCTTGATAGAAGAAAAAGAACCGGAAAAATAATATATGCCTTCCAAAGAAATACTTAGACACAGTGGAAGTGACTGAATGGAAAACTCAGAATAGGCGATATAGCTTAGCATGCACCCTGGTAACTTTAGGGTTCTATTGCTGTAGTTCCAGTGAACAGATTGATTTTTCCTTTCGTTCTAGAAAAAAATTCATTGGTTTTTTTGTTTACATCCCCTTAATTTTGCACTTCTGGGGAATTTGAACTGCATAAATGTTGAAGTTTCAAAGCTGCCTGGAATACACGCTCTGAGAGAATTTGAACAGCTACCGAAAATTGTTGTCGTTCCCAAGCAAATAAATGGCAACGCGCACCAGACTAGCCGGTTCAACCATGCGTTTTGTGCAATTCATCCCATCGAACAACTGCCTGTTAATGATTTTCACTGCTTTGTACTTTAGTCTATGCAAAAATAGTTCAAACACTGAAAAGCAGTTAAAAATTTCACGCACCAGCGTATGAAAGCTGAATTCGAAACCTTGAAGGATGAA